CGAAGTAATTGATCACATTTGCAGACTTTGAAATTCAAACGAGTGAAAATTTTTTAAATCAAGAATTGGAACAGTATTTTAGGCAACATTTCTCATACTTTTCAAGCCTTTTATTTATTTATGCAGTAAAATCATGAACATTGCTCCCCAGTATTTAAAATAGAAGACAATTCAAGATGCATAAAACTGTAAAATATAACGAAATTATTATCCCTCTCGATGTTTGCCACAAGCCTCAGCATATTGATCGTAAAAGACCGGGTGTTTTCATCCCATTAAACATCACCAATGTTTCTTCAGTGTTTCAATATCAAGATAAAACTATACCGCATTATTCAACACGGTGGGAGAGTCAAAGGCACCATGCGGGCTTGGAATAATATTAACGCAAGCCGAACGATTCACGAATTAATTGATAGGATATTGTTCCAGCAAGAGACAAAGCCGTGGAGAGTTTAAAACAGTGGATCTGGTTCGATTATTTGAGTCCTGTGTACGGGTTCCATCGGTGCTATGACATCAATGCATCATTAATCGTGATATTCACTCGTGCCTGGGAGGACTGATGTCGTTGTTGTTGTTGTTATTCCTTACTGGTTATATTCCTTTAAAAAAGGCAAAGTATCAATTGGGAGGACTGAATAATGATTAATCCTTGACTAGGTGCTGGTTAGGCACTTATTAGGCTTGACTAGGCGCTGGCTAGGCGCTGGCTAGGCACTGACTAGGCGTTGACTAGACATTGACTAAGCGCTGGCTAGGGATTGAGTAGGCGTTGGATTGGCATTGACTAGGCGTTGACTAGGAATTGACTAGGCATTGACTAGGCACTGACTAGACATTGACTAGGCGAAGCTCTCTTGTATATTAATAATAATCGACAACCACGGTCTAAACGTGGCTTATGCAGACGACAAACCTGTGGAACACAGAGCCGATAAAAGGCCAATTTCCCACTTATTTCACCGTGAAATTGTTGGAAATGCAACTTCGATCATTTCGAAACCCTCGAAGACATCTCCCCCTCGCGACCCATTAAGCGCCAGCTCATTGTGGCTCTCAGTCCAGCCGCGCAGCTGTTGTCACTGGCTCCGGATTAACGGTACAACCAAGGAATCTAATTTGAATGATATCGAAAGGGCTGTTGCCATCCACAACCAGTGAGAAAGACACACTTGCGGCTATTGTCGGGTTCAATTGCCCCCAGTGAGATGTCAATGCCCGCATGAAACTCAAGATTGGATATCGTATTTTGCTGTGGGAAATCGCTCATACGTTTCCCCAAAAATTTCCGAAACGCAATTTTCGTTTTTCGGAAATTAAGAGTGAGAGAATATCCGTGGGAATGCCATCAATATTTCAACGCTCAGATAAATAAATCCAGTCTGCAACTCTCTGAAATATTCGGGGGGTTACATACCAAATAACCTTGTCTGGGTTTAGTCTAAATGCGTCACGGTTGTAACCATGCAAAGTGCTTTAGCGCGGATAGGTACCTTTTTTTTCATGGGAATTGAAATAAGGAAGTTGTCTAAATACTGAGTATGGGGTGGAATCACTGATGTGTTTGAAATTAAGACACTTATATTCCCTTTTTTAAGACACTAGATGTCGGGCGCGTATTGTCAGCCGAGCCGCCAGAATAGTATCTCTCACCGTTTATTGAAATTTCAATTTTATTATTATTCATTTTTTTATCAATGTATTATTAATGTACCTAAATGTTTTTGAAGATGGTATATATAGTATATGAGGGGGTTACGCCTCCTGCTCGCTCCGCTGGCCCCATTTGAGTCCCATGATCCTCACTCTAACCCTTATGACCCTTAATCTGATCCTCGTGACATTTACTCTGGCCTTGGTGATCCTTATTTTGGCCCTTGTCACCGTTATTCTGGCCCTCATGATCCTTATTCTGACCTTTATGACCCTTATTCTGCCCCTCATGGCCCTTAATTTTGGAGTCTTAATTTCGTGTTCCAAATTTTCATCACCAGAAATCGTTTTGGATTTTTATAATACAGAAATATAGTATATATAATACGATATTTACATTGCTAAAATAGTGCAATTTTAAATTAAGACGTCTTAACCCTAGATTGGTCACCATATGAGGGAAGTGCCGCAGCGCGTCGTTTTTCTTGAATTGCCATTGATTAACTGATCGGAAAAATTAAAAAAAAATTGACTTTTCCAATCAAAGTGTCTAAAAAAATTTAATAGTTATAGAACACCATAATTCTCAATTCAATAGGAATTCGGTAGCACCCCAAAAATGTTATAATTACATCTAAAATAACGACCCCAGAATAATAACTTCAAAATTATTATTTGCATTGTTAAACAGAGTAGCCTCACTATTTTCCACGGGAAAATACAAGAGTTCCCGGAATGAAAAATTGCTCCGGCTGAATGGGATACCCCGTTACAGGAAAATGCAAGCGGCTATATTAATTCTGGCCGGCAATAAAGAGCCGTGCGTTACTGATGGCTTTGATATTTGTTGCGACTCTCTGTGATAGTCACGTTACCCTGTTCAAGTTTTTTTTCATCCTCTCCACTCCTCATTTTTTTTCCGAATACTGCGAATAGCCCTGGGCGTATTTGCTCTGCACTCAGCCTCCCTCGTGTGTGAATACTAATTAGCCGACCATGAAAAACCTCTCTTGCCCCCTGAACTACGTCCTCAATAATTTATTATTTTTGGGCTTGAGGACAGGGGCCCGGCTCAAAGGGATAGGATACGATTGAATCTTCAACTCTTGCTCTGATGCTATCTCATTTCGACTATTTTTAGGTGATGAGACCGACAATTTCGTCCATGATAAACTTATCAATTTCAATTGTGCAATCTGTTAGTTACGGAGTTGGATCTTTGGGGTAACAAAATCACTAGAACACTCAATCAGATATAATCAATATAACCGTGATTTATTAGGATTCATAATCAGGCCGAGTAAATACGTGCGTGAAAAAAAAATTTAAAATAAAAAAAAAAATTTTAATTTTTTTTTTAATTTTTTTTCTCTGATAATGTGTACGCGCGTTTTGCCTCGTTGTAGGAAGTTTTACGGAACTGTCACGGAATTTTTCCGGAGCGTTCCGTAATTTTTATCTGAATCACCAGTGAAAAATTACAATATCGTCGCTTAAATTTTCTGAATCGATTTCGTAATCGGTGATTGAATTGTGAGTTCTGTAATTTTCACTGAACACTTATCTCCGTGCATTTTCTGATAAAAATCCCTCTCTTTTTCTGGTGATCAAAATATTTCGCGTGCAAGTGAACCATCTCCTTGGAAGAAAATCATTCAGATAGCTAGATAGGCTACCCGTTGTTCCAACACAGCGGTTATCTCCACCAGCTAACAATTAACCCAAAAACAATCAATTGTGGTTTATTATAGCGATGCGATTAGAAAAATAATTCCGGGTGGTTTGTGCAAGCGGTTAGCTTAACGAGCGTGTACGAATGACTAAGAGATTCCTATCTGGCCGCTGGGCCAACTGTGGGCGGTAAACGTCAGACTGCTGCGCGTATAAGTTGTTTATGGCGGTTGATACGCAGGGACCCAGGAAACTTTCAAGTGGGAAAGATGGAGAAACACTTGGGGGGCCATAAATTTCGAGTCTCCTAAGCATCGTCTGGGACCCTTTCTACTTCTTCGTTGAGGGTGGTTCGGGGCGACTACATCGCTGTTTGCAGACTTGGGTGTGCAATCTGCTTCTTCCTGCGGTTGTGATCATGTCCTTGAGGAGGGATTCAGCTGGAGGCTGAGGATGCAGAGAAATTCTGCATTGGGCTCGCGAAAATGTCAACAAAATCGAGTTGAAATTGGAAACATGCGGTGAAAGTTCTGGGACTGTTCGTCCGTCGGCCACCACACGACGCTCTTCCGAAGTTGAAGATGGTTTTGCACGTTCATCTTCGAATCCCTTTTTACATCTGATGATCTCCGATGGGGCAGTTGACATTTTTCAAGTTGCTACCACTCGAAAAGATCTCATGACAATTCTTCTGGAAATGCAGGATCACAGCGTGTTCATGAACATTTGTCTGCAAACAATTTCTTCCAACTCTGAATTTGGGAGAAATTGTGAATCGACCGTCGGAGATCATTAGATGTTGGGGGGATTTAGGAAAAATGTGAAAAACCAATTTGAATGTTGAGAAGAGCACAGCGTGCCAATCAGTGGTCGAGTAGTCACGAAATTTTCACACAATGTTCGTGAGTCTACCATCAACAAAAATGAGGATCCCAATATCGATCAGATGATCCCTCGAAATAAATAACCCTTTAATAATGGATCCACCAATAGCAAATATTACATCCACTGGATGCGGAGTGTTCAGCAATGGATGTGAATCATATTTGATATTTGCGACTGGCGGGTGATATTGGGTCGATAAATCATCCGATCAAAATACGAATCCTCACTTTCGATGACACCAGATAACACAGGAATAATTTGGACAGCAAGGAGAACAAAAAAAGCACTTATTTTTCATAATTAAATAATAATAAAGTGTATTAAAAAATCGTATACAATTTTGATTACCATACGCGGTAATGAATAATCGTAATTCCCCTCGAATACGACTATCCGTTTA